GTTGGTAGTCTGATGAATCAGGCTGTTTGACGCCGCTGGTCTCATTCTGACATGTATCACAGCCCGAGTGACTGCACAGTTTGTATTTTCCTTGTGTTGTTGACCTCGTATGTGCACATGTGTTCCTATTATACTAAGTAAAGTGCAGAATAGGAAAATGTGTAAAGAAAGTTTTTTTCCTACCACAGACGAACGAGGCTACACATTTTCAATGCTCACCAGCATATATACATTTTCTTCTGTCCTCCATGGACAGGGTTAGAGAGCTGTTAAATATATAATTCAAGGATTTATTGAACAGTTAACCACAGAAGATGATTGTAGTGATTATAAAATGCTAATCTAACCAAATACATAAATACACAGATTTATGTCTGCCCTACATAAACAGTGTTCGATGTGTCTTTTTACTAAATTAATATATATATATATATATATATATATATATATATATATATATATATATATATATATATATACACACAACATATACATGTATACATGCACATATAAGTGGTGGAGGTAGGAGGGGCGGAATAATGTAGGGCAAGCGGTGAATGTAGGACAGAGGACAGGCATTTAGGTATAACCAGGTCTCACGCCACCAGTCTGGGTTGAAGGGGAAGAGGCTTTATTAATATTTGTGGGGTGTGGGAGGGAGGGTGTCTATTTGACGCTCCTCAAGTCCTGACAACGGGCTGTGACCTGTCCTCGCTCTTAATACACCGCCATGTTGATGCTGTCTAGCATAAAATTAAAACTCCGGTGCTTTGGTGAAATTAAAAAAGATTTCAATAATAGTGTTCGGTCGGACTATGAGCATCGGCCGTCTAGGTAAGGGGTTGGCTAAGGTTCGTATGCTTCTGGTCAGGCAAAAACCTCTTCATATTTGACGCTTGTCAAATGTTGAGAACGGGCTCATGGTACACAGTGTTTTGGGAATCTTCCTCTTTAATCCGTTAAGTGATCAAGTAATGACATTGATGAAGATAACAAGGCGGTATTTAGGTCATGGTCGCTAACTCCACCGACCTCCATTTCCCGTGCCTTAAGTGGGTAAACGATCCCTGAATGAATGCTGTTAATAAAAGTTTGTTGTGTTGCCTATGGCTGTTGTTTATGTGATGCTTTGTATAGAAACAATCACTGGGAAAACAAAGTTGGCGTTGTCCTGTACAAAAATCATTTCCGTGAATTAAACAAATGGAATAGGCTTAACCGTCTCTGAATTAAAATGTTCAAAGAAGCGATTTGGTAAATAGTAGTAATGAGATCAACTTTCAGATGAATTAGTAATTCGTAGAAATTAAATTTTAATAGATTATTGAAAGGAATTATCACTTGATTTGTCAAATATTCCTCCTTAGGCTTTTATACAGTATATTGTACTGTTTAAGGCTTGTGTTGTACATTTATGATTTTCTCTTATGAACAAAAATTAATGTAATTCTGTATAGATTAACTAAATTATCAATGTTAAACATTTTATGAAAGTGTTTAAATGCGAACAGACTGTAATCTTCCTTTGTACTGTATTTACGAAAAAGATGAGATGTTGGCTTAGGTTACCTTTATTGATTGCCATTATAGACTCGTGTAAGGTAAGGTGGTACAAGGTGTATCCCTAGCCAGTTGTTATTGGGTCAAATAGACCCCCCCCCCACATCCCTGGTGGCAGAGTGTAAACCTAGCAGTATCAGGTAGATCATGCACATTATATCAAAACACAAATTTAACTAGACCTAAGTGCAGTGCAATATTATTTGCGTGCACATGATATAATGCCAGGGGATACTTCAAGTAATCACGGTTTGAAATAATATTCTAGAAAGATTTGCTTCTCGTTTAGAACCATAAACAGTATATATAAAATAGAATGGCTGTGTCTGAAGTAGGAGGCTAGGCTCACCCAACTCTCCAAGATGACACATGGGGGCATGTGAATGTCATAGTCTAGTCTAGGTCCCAGTACCACCTTTTAAAATATATATCGGCATTTATAGCGACCTCTGTGATGTTCATGAAGTCTGAAAACTGGGATTGGTTTTCTGTAGAGTTCCTGTATACTCCCGCCGTTTACCCACACATTTTCACGAGTTACTACTTCGTTACTCCCGTTGTCTGCTGGAACTATAAACACGAATTAATTAGAATTGCCCCAAAAATCCGGTTATTGGAATTAGGAATACATAGCTCTTACAATATTAAATTATCTGAGGGGGGAGAGGGGCGGATATTATGGAAGGGAATGGGGGAGAAAGATGGAGAGGGATGATGAGGGGAAGAGAGGATGGAATAGGGTGAAAGAGGACGAGAAGCGGAAGAGAGAGAGAGAGAGAAGAGAGGGATAAGGGAAGAGAGACCCGGGGACAGCCGGGTACCCCACAAATAGGTATAAAAATTGTAACCATTGTAGTATCATCATAATACTTTTAAAGTTTACATTTCTTTTAATGTTTTCATTTTTACAATGAGAAAACTGATACCAGCCTACTTAATATTTCAGACTCACATTCAGAAGTAATTCACGATTATCATGCAGTTTACTTGAATTATATGTTTAGCCTTCTAGCACCACTATCCTCCTAGACCTTCTCAGCCTTTTTCTCATAAAACTACTGTACCTCCCCCCACCCACTCATCTCAAGCCCCCTCCCCCTCCTCCTAAATCATCATCTCAAGGGATTACGGGCTCACCATAGCCCGTGCTGCACAGGGTTTTTACTCCTTAGTAGCTGCATCTAAAACAACAACAATCACCATCATCTCCTGTACCCCCCCCTCCCCCTCCAAATATTATATAGGCATATTGTCTAAATCTTATTCAACTTGAATTCCATAGTTGTTTGCTCTAACATGGGTTGATACTTTCAGCACTCGTCTCGCCAGGTCAAGGTGAAGTTCATGGATAATTTTAAAAAAGTTTTATTACTAATGTTTATAGATTGAAATTCTAGTAACCTTTTAGCTTTATTTCAAAGATTATGAATTGTTTCACAACCCAGATAGTTTTCACAATAACATTTCGTAATTTCGATAATGTGTAGCTGATAATTGTAGGCTTATAACACTATACTCTTTTATCCATTACATTTTTCTCCCAATTTTACATTTATTTTGTTAGTCGAATTAGGTCCTCTTGTAGCATGTCTAAATTGTCGTCTAAATCCCAGTTTTAATGGATTAAGCTGATGACTGTTCACTCCTGTATGCACATCATTTGTGTAGCCTGTGTGGCAATCCAGTGAAGTCCCGGGACAGGACCCTGCGGCACTCCCCACGCGAATGTTCCTCTTCGAACTTCCCTCCATATAGTGTGACCCTCTTTTCCTGTGTGATAACCAGGCTCTGATTTAGTTAAATGGGTCCCCCTTCCAGTATCATGTGGCTGTGGCATATGTGACATACTAATTGATTGTGAATATTTTAGTTTACCTTGAAAAGCTTCATAGAAAACACCGACCTCACCTAACCTTCTTAGTATGTTAAGATAAGCATCTTACTGCTTCTTAATTACAATTATTACTTAACCTATACCGTTAATAGGTTAAGTAATAATTGTAAATAAGAAGCAATAAGATGCTTATCTTAACATACTAAGAAGGTTAGGTGAAGTCGGTGTTTTCTATGAAGTTTTTCAAGGTATACTAATTGATTGTGAATATTTTAGTTTGTCACATATGCACTTATTAAATAAGCCAATATTGACTATAAGCAAGTGCGAGAACGGGTTGGGCTGTGTCTACTTGTCAGTCTTTCGTGTGGAACAGCGACAAAAGTCTTAACTCTAGGTATACAGTATACTATAATAAAGACTGATCTTTAGCCCTGTGTTGCCTCTGGTATGCAGTACTTTGTGCGCTAAATGATGTTAAACATGGTTGCTGTCTTGTAGAAGCATGTTGCGATTGTTTTTATAGCCAGTTTTTCCACACATGAGACATTGATGGGTCGATAGTTTGACACTATTGGTTTATTTATTGAGTATAAGCTGCTTGAGAAGGGTTGGCTAATCTCTCTAGTAGTGTGGTTGAGGACTACGGCGACGCGCGCGGCACCTGTCGGGTGGCACTCACCTGAAGGTGAGTCCCACCTGGCAGGTGCCGCGCGCGTCGCCGTAGTCCTCAACCACACTACTCTCTCTACGATTTAGATATTAGCAAACACTTCGTCAGGGTCTCAAGACTACTAATTATTTACCTTCGAACTGTTTTTCCTTTTTCCTTCGCCCTTAAGCTTTTGGGTGTAAATATATTTGTTTGAATCAGTGTTTTGATCAATTTGCTTCAACTCTGGCATGTTTGTTTGGAAACTGAAATATAATGAGTGGGGGGAAGATAGGTCTATTCTTAAACATTGACTTCATATATATAACAATTCACGTGAGCCAATGAGATTACCCGTTGCATTTAACAACCTACAGGATATGGTAAAGTACATCAGACATAACCTTACTGGAAAACAACTTACTTGTCATGTCTTTCACAGTCATTCACAGTTTCAGATGTAGATTAGACAATGCCTAATAGGCTTGGTTTCCTGTTTTTCCTTCCCTAAGCTTATAACCATTACATTTTTGTCTAAGTATATATGTATATACACTGATAGGCGTACATACGTTATAGCACTAAGAATTATTAAATTGCATTATTTGATAAAAGTTTTGTAACAGCGAGTGTGAGTTCAAATATACATACACAGACACGCGTATATATACAGGCGAGGAGTCACAATAACGTGGCTGAAGTATGTTGACCAGACCACACACTAGAAGTTGAAGGGACGACGACGTTTCGGTCCGTCCTGGACCATTCTCAAGTCGATTGAGAGAATGGTCCAGGACGGACCGAAACGTCGTCGTCCCTTCAACTTCTAGTGTGTGGTCTGGTCAACGCGTATATATATATATATATATATACGTCGTGGTGTTCAGCTTTTTGAGTTGTATAAGTGTAAACATACTTTGTCAAGAGTGTGATCCCAAGTGTGTGTTGTTACAGAGCTCGGACTTGAGTGGGTGCTGCCGGTCGCCGGTGGAGCGTCGGGCCAGCCCCACGGGCTCCATCGCCTCCACCCAGAGCCAGTCCCAACTTACACCCTCCCGCCAACTCACCGACGGAGAGAGACTCAAGAAGGTCATCCTCGAACTGGTCGATACCGAGAAGACGTACGTCAAGGTCAGTATCCTCCCGTCTTGACAAAGGTCTTGGTTTTGTTTATGTTTTTTTTTTTTTGTTCTTGAAGTGTAGACTGCGTTTGGGAAGACCCATTTGTTGTGGGGGGCTTCTGGGAGGTCATTCAGGATGTGGGGTCATTGGACGTCGGGGGTATGGATGTGTCTTGTCATCTTTGGTTAGTTATCTTTGCGGTCCTGTGTGGGGGGTTCTGGGATTATTTATTGTGCACCCCATACTCATCCTGTGAGCGGTAGCGCAAAAAGGATTACAGAGGGCACAAAAGGTCTTTTATCAGACCTCTACGGTGATAATTACATTATCAATTACATCTATCCTTCACACCTTATAATTTCAATGTCAGCTAGTTACAGAGAATGTTCTATTGATTGCTAGGAGGTCTTCGCGATCCGGGATGTAAAGGTGTGTTATACTGTAGACGCTCGCTTGAGAGGTTACCGAGTTTGGTGATGGTGGGCATCATCACCTGAGAGACCTGTGAAGCTGGTCTGTTCTTACTGTTCGTTCACAGAGAAACGGAGTGCCTTGTTTTGAACTCTCTGGATTGGTTGGTACTTGTGGTGAGGTCCGGAGGAGAGGTAATCAACCAGGTATCAACCAGGTATATGGATATTCTACTGCTCTCATGACCATTATGTTAAACAAAACTTATTTGCATCTTGTCCGGGATTGTGGTGACTCCATTTTTTCCCCGTTGTGCTGTTAGTGATCTCTACGTTCGCTGTTCTCGAGGTGGTGGCGTGTTTGGTTGACTGCTCCCCTGGGTCGGACGGTGTTATTACATCGTCCGCAAATTGGGTGGTGACGATGTCTATAGTCTAGTTGAGGGATGTCGTTAACAAGTATGTTAAACAGCACGGGACCCAGCCAGGAAGGAACCTCGTGGAACTCCAGCTGTGGGTGTGAAGGGCTCACCATTTTCCCTCGTTGAAGCGGGGAGTGACGCGTCTGTTCTTGGTGACCATTTTCCCTCGTTGAAGCGGGGAGTGACGCGTCTGTTCTTGGTGAAGTTCCTCATTAGTCCAAGGACATTCCGGTTATGGACTGGGATGTCTGCCAGGTTGTACCCCAAGACCATCGTGCCAAATAACACTCGTTACGAACAGTGCTATTTGGTCTTGTTGACGGACGTTGGCGCCGGCATAATGGATGATGTTGATGGCATGATGGGTTGATCTGTCTCCTCAACCCCAAATGGCTTCTCGGTAAAGAGATTCTTATGTTCCATGTAGTTGAGCCGGTTTGATATCATTTTCTAAAAGCATTTACCTATTGTTTCTGCTAGGGAGCAACTGGGCGAGTTACCTGTTTATTGATGTCTCTTTTTGGGGACTTTGTGATGAATATAATTTTTGCCACTTTGATGTCTTCTGGTATGTGTCTTGTTGCCAGGATTGCATTGAATACATTAAGGAGGTAATGCAAGCAGTTTATTCGCAGGAATTGGATCTATTTGGCAAGTAGTGTGAAGAGTCTGCCCCAGAATGTCCAGACAGACTGAAGAGTCTGGGGCCTTAATTGTTGCCTGATGAGTTTAAGGGCCTTGTTGTGTGTGGTTCTTATGTCACCTGTCATTTCTAGCATGGTTGTTAGTCTGGTAGGGGGGGGGTGATCATCTAGGTGTGACGTATCAACGATCTGGCTGCTGAGGATGAATTCTAGGATCTCGTTGGTCCATTGGTTGACTGTTGAAATGTTCGGGCATTCTTATGACTGTCAGCCTGCTGTTCGAGGCTAAGTTTTTTTCCAGCGTTAGCCCATGAGGTCTGCCTGTTCTTTGGGTCTTCGATCTTGTTATATTGTTCTTCGTCATCTTCATCCTTAAATGTGTGGACAAGGTGGGTTAGGTGCGGTGTTTATGACCCAAGTAGCTGCTTAATTTTCCTCCAGAGGGTGCCTATGGGGTCTCTTCTGTATTGGTTCACCCGTTTAACCAGGTTTCAACAAATGTGTCTTCCGTGAAACATTATAAGGTCAATGGTCTCTCTTTTAGGAGTTTGTCGAGTGAATGGTGGGGATGCCGTGTCCGCTGGTGACGGAGGCAGCTAGTACACTGCCTGGTACACGCTCATTTGACTCGTCTTTTCCGGCGGGTGTGTGTTGGCTGTAAGTTTTGGCGGGAGACATCTCGCAAGTGGGTGACTTCGCTCCCAGGATGCTGTTGTGGAGGGAAGGTCATGACCTGGTCGACGGGGGCTTGGTTGGAGGTCAAGGTGGATTATGGGATCGTGCGCCAGTAAGGTGAGATAGGCTTGGATTCCTATTATCTCAGTTCGTGGTCTTAGAGGGGTTATAAATCTGAAGAGGGGGGGGGGGGTAGTTAGGAGTCTTATTATTACCGGGGAGTGGTCTGAACCCATGTTATCCCCCCCCACTTCCCACACATCCCCCCCCCACTCCTCCTCCCTCCACTCCCCCTCCCTCCACTCCCCTTCCCCCACTTCCCCCCACTCCCCTTCCCCCACACTCCCCTTCCCACACTCCCCTTCCCACACTTCCCCCCCACTCCCCCTCCCTCCACTCCCCTTCCCACACTCCCCTTCCCCCACTCCCCTTCCCCCACTCCCCTTCCCCCACTCCCCTTCCCCCCACTCCCCCCCACTCCCCTTCCCCCACTCACCCCCCCACTCCCCCCGGGGTCGCTCTGCATGGGAAGAGGTCGCAATCTCTGTTGGAATCACGACTCGCCAATTGGTTTAACAACCAGTCCCCAATTACGTCTGAGCAGGGGGCGAGACAGTTAAGGATTGGCGCCCAATCAATCCCCCTAGCCAGGGCTCGAATCCAGACGCAATCTTGTGACCGAATCATTATCCGCTGTAACATTCCCTATTGACAGCTCGGGGCTTTTTCAATTTATTGTGTGAAATATTTGAGGGGATAAAAGTAGAGGTATTCAGGAAACAGGCAAGTTGGTGAAGGAAGTGCTGAACCACTCGGGATGTAATGGTATGTGGGAGCGGGCAGCAACAGCCTTCTAGATCAAGTGAATACAAGACAAGTGTGTTCCCAGGCCAGCTTGGGGGGTGCAGAAGAACTCGCTGAACGGATTCTATAATATTAGAGCAATGATGACGTTGGTGCGTACCCGTATCAGAGGGTACTGTTACGGCAGATGAGGTGGGGGGAGGAGGGGTTGTTGTGGTGCGGGAAGCAGCAGCCTGGGGTCATGACCCCATCACCCTAGGAGCCTGACCCCATCACCCCAGGAGCCTGACCTTCCTTGATGCTTGCTTCATCTCCCGGCATCTCCACTTGTGCTTCCACGGGTCCCGTCCTTCAGCTCGGCCCGTGCTTCTGTTAAGTGGTGGGTTGAGCTCAGAGTCCCAGCTGGGGGCTGAGGGAGTCCCAGCTGGGGGCTGAGGGAGTCCCAGCTGGGGGCTGAGGGAGTCCCAGCTGGGGGCTGAGGGAGTCCCAGCTGGGGGCTGAGGGAGTCCCAGCTGGGGGCTGAGGGAGTCCCAGCTGGGGGCTGAGGGAGTCCCAGCTGGGGGCTGAGGGAGTCCCAGCTGGGGGCTGAGGGAGTCCCAGCTGGGGGCTGAGGGAGTCCCAGCTGGGGGCTGAGGGAGTCCCAGCTGGAAGGACTTGGGGTAATGTTTGTTTTGTACCCAAGTTAAGCGAGGGTTTGTTTAGGCATAATGGGATTTTGTTTGCTTGGTGCGTGTGTCTTGGAGAAGGCCAGATCACTCCCTGCTTGACGGAAGGTGTTAACGAGGTGGTGGTTAAGACGCAGTCTGCTGTATCTGAAGGAAGTAATACAAAGAGGATAAATAAGACAAATTTAACACGAGGAACACGAGCGGCTTTGAAATACCCTGTTGGAATCCAGCGGGACCTACCCATATCTGCCCGTGCCAGAGTGCTTTTATAATACCCGAGGCGGTTGTCCTAGATGCCCACAGTTTCTTCTTGTTGACAGTCTCTCTCTCTCTCTCTCTCTCTCTCTCTCTCTCTCTCTCTCTCTCTCTCTCTCTCTCTCTCCTTTAATTGTAATCCTTCTCCAGGCTTGTCTTTGTCGTGGGTATTCTACGGATTACTTCAGAATTAGTCTGCGATTGACTTAGACAATGACATCTTTGTCGTGTGTGTGACCCCCGGGGTCCAGGACTCACACTAGTGAGTGTGACCCCCGGGGTCCAGGACTCACACTAGTGAGTGTGACCCCCGGGGTCCAGGACTCACACTAGTGTGTGTGAGAGCTGCACCAGGAGTCATCACCCACCTTTTACAGTCCATTAGATAATTCAGAACAGAGGTAATGGTGTACAAGACATAATTGGGTGAGTTTACGATATCAGATGGATGTATAATACAGAGGAGCAGGGGGGTGGAGCAGTTGTATGTAAGAAGGGAAGGAACCGTCCCCAGCTCAAGCGACAGGTGTGTAGCAGTGAAGGTTGTGACCCAGGCGACAGGTGTGTAGCAGTGAAGGTTGTGACCCAGGCGACAGGTGTGTAGCAGTGAAGGTTGTGACCCAGGCGACAGGTGTGTAGCAGTGAAGGTTGTGACCCAGGCGACAGGTGTGTAGCAGTGAAGGTTGTGACCCAGGCGACAGGTGTGTAGCAGTGAAGGTTGTGACCCAGGCGACAGGTGTGTAGCAGTGAAGGTTGTGACCCAGGCGACAGGTGTGTAGCAGTGAAGGTTGTGACCCAGGCGACAGGTGTGTAGCAGTGAAGGTTGTGACCCAGGCGACAGGTGTGTAGCAGTGAAGGTTGTGACCCAGGCGACAGGTGTGTAGCAGTGAAGGTTGTGACCCAGGCGACAGGTGTGTAGCAGTGAAGGTTGTGACCCAGGCGACAGGTGTGTAGCAGTGAAGGTTGTGACCCAGGCGACAGGTGTGTAGCAGTGAAGGTTGTGACCCAGGCGACAGGTGTGTAGCAGTGAAGGTTGTGACCCAGGCACTGCTGCTGCTGCTGAGCCACTACTCTGTCAGTGGAATATAAAGTCGCTTGTTATAATTACTTGGTATGGTACCCTCCTGGTAC